ATTTAGGGGAGGGGTAGGTGGGCAGTTGCCCAGATACTGATGTTGATCCGGTTTCATTTCAAGTAATTTTAAGGGATGTGCACATTCGATAAGAAGCTATCAGATAAAAAATTTATTTTCCTGGATTGTTATTTGCGCGATACAAATCAATAAATATTGTTATTATTAATAATATTATTATTACTATAAGATAAAGAACATAGTCCCTTTTTTTTAAAAAAAAAACCTTTTGCTTTCTCTTTTTAAGCAAGCAGCTAAACAGCTGTAATTTTACTTTTTGTCTTACATGGTCTTATTTTTTTATTTTTTGGGTTAACATTTGTTGAAGTCAGATAATAAACCCTGCATTTAATGGATTCATTTTTTATTCAAAGGAACTTGAACATTTAAAGAGTTTGTGTCTGCGTCGAATGCACATTTATCATTTTCAATTTCTTGTAGACTTTGCTCCTGTGTAATTAGGCAAAAATATCAATTAGTGGACCTACAATTCGGAAAATCTCATCCTATTATAGTTGTCATTAAGCTAAACTTTTATTCGAGTCCGGAAAATAGCACGCATCGAATATTATTAAATAATTGAAGGGATCCGTTGTCGTATTTTAAAAAATGTACCGCGATGCAGTCACACTCGAGCGCATTTGAATGAGCAAACCACATAAGGAAATTCACTTTTCAATTAAATTTTATTCTCTCTCTCAAATTATTTCAAAATAATTCTTAATTAGGTTGTTATTTTATGTAGTTTTCTCTCGTTTCACAGACTGAAGAATCAAATGTACCACTGGATACAATCGAGGAAATACAAAATTTCGTTTACGTCTGTTATGCAAAATACGTTCAAAACAGAATTGGTACTTTTTCGCATTTTATATATATTTACCACATACACTGCCTCAGCTCTTTTTACTAAATTATTGATAAAAGAACAAGTTTTAATGAGAGTGTACGCGAACAGAGGAATAGATTGCCACATAATTTCTTTGTGGCTTTCGAAAAAACTTGACTGACACGGTCATACTTTCTCGTTTTAATGTTAACTTAATTAAATTTTGTATCGCACTCCTGGTTCCTGGCCAAGAAACTTCGACAATGATATCGCAAAAAAGTAACTAAAGATCTTCGTTACAATTTTTTTCCCGAGAAAGCCAGGCCGCAGAAAAGTTAACAGAGATATTAAAGGAATAAAATATTGATGTGCACGTGAAATACTTAACGCGAGATTGCGGTGTCGGAAGTTGTTACTACTTATATTCGCCTCGGAACGGGTTAGTTTTATTAAAATTTGATTGTGAGATGTCCATATTTTTGTGGGAACGGACAAATAAACTTCAAAAAAGACAAAACAAAACATTCAGACAGCTGCACTAACGAAAATGCGTTTTAGGTTAAAAACGTGAAGACAACTGGAGGACGCGATAAAGTTTTTTCAAGAACCGCGCTTCTGTTAGCAATCGTACTATGGTCTTTCATAAAAATTAAATTTAGGAAAGCAAACAGCAAAGCAAAAAACACAAGAATTTAAGTTTTCACAGTTGAAGCAGCTGTCCCTCTGTTCTGTAAAAACAGACATTGATGTTGTTGCTCTCATTTCAACGTCAGAGAATGTCCTTATACTCGAGTGTTTACGACAGCACTGTTGAAGATGTCGCGTGTGTTTCGTCGCTTCTACTCCCGTCATATATAACCGAACAAATTGATCTTTGTGCCCAAGATACAGGTGTCTTCGCAATACAGCTTTCGCAATTTTCTTGTTCCTTGTAAAATTGAACCCGTTTCTTTCCTTTTGACCTTTTATTCGGTCTAAGAATTATACTAAATCGCGGATTTCGTAGCGCATACATCAAAGGGTTTGCACAAGAGGAAACTAGCGCTAGACAAATTGTAACAATTTTTGCTGTCGCTGATCCTGGATAACGCTCGCTGGTTTTACGTGGAAGAGATAAATAAATGGAAATTATGCAAAGTGGCAGCCAGCAGAAGAAATGAAGAATTGATATGAAGAACATTGTCCTTGTTGTTTTGATTTCAGCAAAGAAGCGAATAGTGTTTCGATTTCCAACTCCAAGAGGTCGTACCTTGCTAAATCCACTCCAAAGTAATTTGGACATTTTCACAAATAATACAGCCATTAGTAGCATAGGAAGGAAAAAACAAATCGTAACGTAAATGATGTTCAGAGTTCGTAAAGTTTTCGTTTTATGAGCGCTTATTAGAGGAAAACACGACAAGATTGAAGAAGTCAAACATGGGCTCGGGCCTTCTGCCAGAACTGTCCATGAAACCGCAAAAGCAAGTGCCAAGATGAAGACAAAGACTACAAGTCTTCCCGTAGTCTTGGCCGAAATTTTCCTCTTGCCCGAATTGCTGATAACATAATAGCGTTCCACAGCGACAAGAGTTAACGCTAGGTTCGAAAGAGCTGAAAAAAGCTCAAAAGTAAATCCAATGAGAACGCAAAGCCATTCAATGTTTTCCATTTCAGACCTTGAACTTGATA